GGTGGATTGACAGTTTACTGAATGCAGCCCATTTGAGAAGTCTACCTCAAAGGATTCAAGCTGAAGCCCCTCCACACCTTCTTCCCTCCCTTCCAAATACTGGAGTCAAAAATGCCTCCGGCTCAGGGCACCCTCCCTGAGATAGGTCCCAGCCGGCTTTAAGCTGGAGGGCACTCAGGTTTTCTTTTTTTTGGGGGGGGGGTGGGGGATCCGGTCATGGGGCCTGCACTCAGGGCCTGGGCGCTGTCCCTCAGCTCTTCAGCTCAAGGCTAGCGCTCTACCACATGAGCCACAGCACCACTTCTGGCTTTTTTTAATTTTTGTTTATGTGGTGCTGAGGAATTGAACCCAGGGCCTCATGCATGCAAGGCAAGCACTCTACCACTGAGCCACCTTCCCAGCCCTGGCACTCAGGTTTTCTCCTGTGGTAGTTTCGAGTTCTGATTTATTTCAGGACTGTGCACAGGGGGTTCAACAACAGCATCGTAAACTCATAAGACAACTTGAAGAAGACAAACCACAGATTCCAAATGTTCTAGTATCAGCTGCACTTATCCCAGCTTTCAGTCACTGGAGTCCTATGGTCATTGTACATGCTGCTCACTTCAATTAAGGGCTAAGAGAACCCATCCCTGACCTTGAAGAGCTGGCTGTGTCTTCTGGAAATGACATATATAGAAAACAACACTTAGGTATTACAAAGCAACATCTCATTTATGCTGAATGAATTACCAGAACACAATTGCTAAGAAGATCTAGTAAACTACAGGTAACCTGGGTCACTCCAAACAACTTCTAAGACTGGACAGCTACCTATGGCTAATCTTTATACAAAGGTTCCTTTTAAGAAAGAAATTTTGTCACATTTTCCTGGCATAGACTCTGTTGCAAGATGTACTTTTCATTAGTCAGAATTACAGCAACAAGAAAGCAAAACAGAAAAAGACCAACCCCACGACATAAGATAGGATGAAAAATAAGGGTTTTTACCATGAAGTGTTTTGCAGTCAGAAGCTTAGAAGACCCTCAAGAATGTCCTTCACTGTAGTCTGAGCTTACCTCTGTCATAAGGCACATATGCTGATTCCTAGCAACTGGAAACTTGCATGTCATGATACAGAACTGGTTATTTGACTTCTGTTGCAGGTGGCTTTCCCAGCTCTTCTCAAAAAGGGCCCTTGACAAGTTGGTTTCCCCAGAGACCAAATTCATGGCGAAACTCATTCTCATTACTCTGAATCACACATCTACCCACAAGAAGCTACAAGTGAGCTAGAAAAACACAAGCAGAAGACAGAAGAGAAGTAATTTTCACCAACATGCAGGTAGTATATCTAATCATTGATGCTATATCACTGGTCTATGAAAAGTCATACTTGTGCATTCATAGGCATCCTCTATAGCTAAATAACTTAAACAGTCTCATTTTCCCATCCCTTCTTTTCTAACTTCATGCTCACAGACACACAAACAGGTGGTATTTTCTCTTGTCATGTGCTAGTTGTTATCCCTTGAAAAGTTAGTAAATAAATAAGGGGCTGGGAAAGTGGCTCAGTGGTAGAGCGCTTGCCTTGCATGCCTGAGGCCCTGGGATCGATTCCCCAGCACCACATAAGCAAAAAGAAAAAAAGCCGGAAGTGGCGCTGTGGCTCAAGTGGTAGAGCACTAGCCTTGAGCTGAAGAGCTGAGGGACAGCGCCCAGCCCCTGAGTTCAGGCCCCATGACTGGACCCAAAAAAAAAAAAAAAAAAGAAAAGTTAGTAAATAACTTAGGTTCTATATGCCCATGTGTTACTGAATCAGACCTGTTATGCCTGATGTACAGCATGCCAATTGTTGAAATGATTTTATCCCCCAAAAGTTTTATTCATAAAATGCCAAGGGTAAGAAGATGGGTGACCTAAATCTGGAATCCATTTCACCCAAGAGAGGGGTTGGGAGGGTAATTTAAAGCCCTCAAATGAACAGTGAGTCCACCAGAAATAATCAGTTGTCTATACATAAATGATCAATCTTCATAGGATACAATCTGAAAATGGTGGCATTATGATGGTTCTGAGGAGGGAAATTGTAGCTTTCTGACATCAAAGGGTCATAAATGGACACTTGAGAACATCCAAGTAAAGAATCAGTGAGTTCATCCAAAGTGGCCTTTCAGTCTCTGAAAAGTAATTTGGGCAATCATTATCATCATGACTCACATATCAAGGTTGCTATGTACAGCAAAGCTACTGGTAGGTTAATATGTTGCTCAATTGCTTGACCTCCAAAATTAGCGATTTTTTAAAGTCAATTAAAAGCAAGTAACTTAAAAGAAGTTGGAGACTTTATTCAGTTTCCCCTTAGTGTCACAAACACTTTAAAGAGATGACTGTTGGCATTTGTGGAAACTAAGGATCTCTCATAAGAAACTAGACATTTAATATATTTTTGACTCCCCAAAAAGGGGGGAGGGGATAAAATCTTATCAATGGTAGTCATTACATTATCTGTTCTCAGTTCATGGCTTCTTTTCACACTTGTACCTTTTTTTTTTGCAGCTGTGGGGCTTGAACTCAGGGCCTGGGTGCAATCCCTGAGCTCATTTGCTCAAGGCAAGCATTCTACCACTTTGAGCCATAGTACCACTTCCTGTTTTCTGGTGGTTAATTGGAGATAAAGAGTCACACACACTTTCCAGACCTGGCTGGCTTTGAACTGTCATTCTCAGATCCTAGCCTCCTCGGTAGCTAGGATTACATGTGTAAGCCAGCAGCACCTGGAATTTCTATCTTTTTTGCATTCATATCTTTCTTGGCTGACACAAACAATCCATTAGGGATAAATACAATTTCTTCCATTTTGCAAAAGAGGAAACAAGCTCAAAGGAATTAAGTGATTCGATCCAGTTGGACTCTGGGCTTGGAGTTTCTGTCATAATTCAGGTTGTTTAGAAAACAAATTTTAGGTTCTTTAAGCAAATACATGCTTGAATATTTGGGAAAAGAGTGAAAGTATTAAAATGTGTCAGTTATTTAATAGGATTTCTGACATTAATATTAATATACTTTCTCTGTCAAGGTTACTTTTTGTTGCTTTTATTTACTAGCCCTGGGGCTTGAACTCAGGCACTGGGCACTGTCCCTGGACTACTTTTGCTCAAGGCCTAGCACTCTACCATTTGAACTACAGTACCACTTCCGTCTTTTTCTGTTTATGTAGTACTGATGTACTGTTTATGTAGTACTTATGTAGGGCTTCATGATCCATGCTAGGCAAGTGTTCTACCTCTAAGCCACATTCCCAGCCCTTTGTTTCCTTTAATGAGTGCACCTCTTCTATGTAAAAAGGTAGATCTCAACTGCATTGCACAAACCAGAGTCACAGCTATTTAAATTTTATAGAAGTGTATGAGGATTGTGTACCTCGTGTGCCTACTGTGTATATGAATGATTGCATTTATGAGATAACAGAAAGGACAGAGGCCTCAGCTGGGTCTAGTCTTGTCTGCTACTTACAGCTGTGTCCCTGGAGAGTTGGATAAGAAGCCAGTCTCTAATCTTAGCACCACCTCAGCCCCTTCTCTGTTCTGTTCTTGGAATTTAACACTTCTTTGGGTCCTTCTTGGGCTCCTGATCTTACCTTCACCCCTAGATGCCTGACTGCTCTTCTTTGCATCACCATCCACTTCAGGTAGTTAGCCTGATCTTGGCTCTGTGCCCCCATCCTGTTCTGAAGTTTCAGTGGGAGTCAGGTGTGGCCTGCTCGGTCCAACAGTACAGCTCATTTACAAAGAGTAGGAGGTAATAGTTTTGATTTTGAGATACACAGCATTGACATAGCTGGACTTATACTGGTAGTTAGAAATCCCTCAATTGATTGAAAGCGTTACATTGTATTTGAAATAGTAGGCTAGAAAAACCTATTTCCTCAGTCATTAATGTTGTGTTTGTGCAGCCACTATTCAGAAAAAGTAAACGTAGTTTCAGAAAGGAAAATCAAAGGGTGGAGGAAAAAAAATCTTGAGGAATAGCTACAACTAAAAAGAAGTAATAGGAAATTAAGTTAGCAAAGAAGAATAAAATCTAGACATGGTAGCTAGAACAGACGTCACAGGAATAGAGAAATGTTTGAAGGAGACAGAGATGCCTGAGGAAAGGTCAGAGAGTTTAAAGAGTCGGTCACACACGGTAAAGGTTAAGATGGTATAAAGTACATTTCCGTCTCCGTAGGGGGGGGGAGATGGAATCGTGAGGCAAAGATGATAAGAAAATAGATGGCTACTTTAAACTGGCAGAAAGAAGAGCCGGGGACCTCCACCCCTCCACTTGTATTGCGAGCCCCTACTGGTCAAGGGCTTCGCCCTTCTGTCCCTGCCCCGGGTGAGGGGGTGGGGGGGGAGGAGAGAAGTGGGGAGCCGGGGGGCTCTTTCGTGCAGTTGTGCAGGGAAAAACCTACTCCTGTCTGTTGCACAGGCCACGCACCTGCGGGGAAGGCCGCCGGCTGGCGCAGAGACAGCACGGTCTTCCTCCGCGCCGCCCCCCCACTCCCCCGATCCACAGGCCGTCTCTGGGTCAACAGTATTTCAACAACACTGCACCGCTTTCCACACGGCCTGCCCGCAAGCCCGCAGCGGCCAGCGGTGACACCGGGCGCCAGAGCCCCGCGCGCCGGCTTCCTCATCTGGACCACCGCGCCATCCCGGGAGCGCGAGCCCGAGGAGCCCGGGGTTCCCGGGGCCTCAACTCAGGCCGGCCTGTTCAGTGCCCCGCCAAGGGACTTAACCTCTCCAGGCCTCTAATATGTCGTTCCTCTCCCGGAACGACCCGGGTCAACTGGTTTCAAGCCCTCGGAAGTCCACCTCCCTGCCGGGCGGGGACGCTGTGGGAGAAGACTCCAGGGAGTCCCGTCCATCGCGGGCGCTCGACAGACTTCCCGGAAATGACGCGAGGCCCACGCCAGGCTGCGGAAATCCCGTTCGCACGCCACGGCGGAAGTCCCACCCACAGCCGGCAGCGGAAATCCGGCCCGCCGCGTCGCCGCGTCTCCGCGTGGAGTTCGCCGGCAGCATGGCGCACTACAACTTCAAGAAGATTACGGTGGTGCCGTCCGCCAAGGTAGGAGAGGGCAGTGAGGGGGCTCCCCACCTCTCACCCTTCGTCTTGGTCAGGTGGTCAGGGAGGGCCCAGACTTGTAACTCGGAGGGTGAGGAGGAAGGCGCCCGCTCAGGCCTGCCCGGGGCCCACGCCAAGTCGCCGGCCCCACGCGCTGTCCCCCTGACACTCCCACCCCACACCGCCAGTCTGCCCACCCCCGAGCCCTCCCCACACTAGGGACTCGCGGGAGGGGGCGTGTGTGGACCCCCGAAGTGGCCGGACGGGCGGTGGTCACCCCGGCGTGCGCGGAGGGAGGGAAGCCCGCGGGGGCCGGGCGCGAGCGCGGCCTCTGCCTTCGGATTCTGAGTTCGCTGTCACCTCTGAGACTTGAATTGTCAGATACAGCAAGGTCAAGTACGGCCAGGTTAAAGTTCGTGTAATGTTAGCCAGCCCAAGGGATCTTAAGCGCTTGTCCAGAAAAACGGGTCTCTTGGGGCAAGATTCACGGGAGGACCAGTCCTGAAAAAGAATCGCTGTGGTTATATCTGCTTCCTTGGGGATATTTTTCAATGCCTCCTTTCCCCTTCTCATGATTAGCCTACGCTTTCTCTGCAAGGGTTTGCCAAGACCTAGTATTTTGCATTCATAACATACGAAATTGTTTCCTCCTTTTGCTTACCCATCTCTCGCTTTTTTTCCCCTCCTTCCTGACAGTTTGTTACATGTCTCACTAGATTGTAGTATTTGTGAGGAATCAGGTCTTACATGTTTTTCTTGGTCTTCATGTAATTCCTTCACTGTTGAAGGAATTCAAACACAGGTTTGGACCATATGAATTGTTCGTATAATTGGCTTTGTGGGAATGTTTTTGGATAACATTTATTGAAGTAAGATCTATTTCTAGAGAACAGAGGAGTTAAGTACAGGACCCAGTTTGTTGCAAATGCTGTTGAGTGACTGATGTGTGTGCCAGGTAGTGCGGGTTTAAAAATACCTTCTAGAGGGATAGAAACAGGTAAACAAAATCGAAGTAAGGAAATAGTTATAAGGAGGAATATGCAGTCAGCTGTCACTATCAATGGATTCCAGATCCATGTATTGAACCAACCACAGATCAGAAACACTTCTGACACTCCTGTATTATTACAAGTAATATGTTATGATTTGTGTAGATTCTACTCCAAGTATTATGCTACTGAAAACTTTTGGTAGAAGATTGGAAGAGCTGTAAAGTTTACTGATGGAGATATGAACACCAGTTGTAATCACTTGTTGACTTTTTTTTTTTTTTTTTGGATCCGGTCCTGGGGCCTGAACTCTGGGCCTGGGCGCTGTCCCTCAGCTCTTCAGCTCAAGGCTAGCACTCTACCACTTGAGCCACAGTGCCACTTCCGGCTTTTTTCTTTTTTGCTTATGTGGTGCTGAGGAATTGAACCCAGGGCCTCTTGCATGCAAGGCAAGCACTCTACCACTGAGCCACCTTCCCAGCCCACTTGTTGACTTTTTTATGGCACTCAATCCTAAGTTCCTCGAAAAAGAGACAGTGTCTTTTTCATTATTTTGTCTTCAACACCTTTTCTTTTTTTCTTAATTTTTTATTGCAAAGATACTATACAGAGGGTTACAGTTACATGAGCAAGGTAATGAGTACACTTCCTATTGAGCATTGTTACCCCCCTCCATTCAACACCTTTTCTTATCAGTTGTAAAAAATGGCCAGTATTGTTGTGTTCAATGGACATTCTAATAAACAAAATTTTTTCTGGTCCTGGGAATTGAACTCTGTGCCTAGACGCTGTCACTGAGTTTTTGTACTCGAGGCTAGCACTTTTCCACTTTAGCCACAGCTCCACTTTGGTTTTTGTGGTTAATTGGAGATAAGAGTCTAAGGGACTTTCCTGCCCAGACTGGTATTCAAGCCATGGTCCTCATATTTCAGCCTCCGGAGTAGTGAGGATTGGTTACAAGTATGGGCCATCTGCACCTAGTCAAATTCAAGTAATTTTATATGACTAGGTAGTGGGATTGAGAAAGCATGGAATGAGTTCTTATTAAAAAGAAGCAGGCACTGGGGAATGTATGCAGAAATCTTTCAAGTCCTTTGTTGCCTCAGATTCCCACAGAAATTTTAAGTAGTGGGTTTTAATTCATTTCATCAAATTATTTAAATTAAAGCTATGCATAAGATTGTGGGATTGTGTGTTTTTTCTTATACTTGAGTTGTTGGGAATATTCTTAAGTATTTGAAAATTTGGGATAAGTTTATTTTAACAACCATTAGATCAGAGACTATAAAAAGGGAATGTTTTAGTTAGGAAAAGTAAATTTTCTAATTTAAGATGTGTAGTACTATTAGATAATTAGTGGTTTAGGAATGTTTTAAGCAAGTGGGTAGAAACAATTGTGTCATAATATTTTTTCTATTGCAGGACTTCATCGACCTCACATTGTCAAAGACTCAACGGAAGACTCCAACAGTTATTCATAAACATTACCAAATCCATCGCATAAGACATTTTTATATGAGAAAAGTCAAATTTACTCAACAGAACTACCATGACAGATTATCACAGATTCTAACGGATTTCCCCAAATTGGATGTATGTGACTCTGTGGGACACAGATGGTTAAGTAAATGTAAATCAGTGTAAGCTGTCAGATGGGCCTAGATCACTTGGGTAGGACTCTGAAGTATATAGTTAATTTTTTTATTTTTCAGTACTGGGTTCTGAGCCCAAAACCTGAGACATGTGCTCTACTGCCAAGCCATACCTCCAGCCTTTTTTGCGCTGGTTTTGTGCAGTGTACCTGTGTGCCAGTTCTAGGGCTTGAACTCAGGGTCTGGGTGCTGACCCTGAGCTTTTTTACTCAAGGTTAGGGTTCTGCCACCTAAACTAAAGCACCATTTCTGGCTTTTTAGTAGTTAATTGGAGATAAGAATCTCACAGACTTTCCTTCCTAGGCTGACTTTGAACCTTGGTCCTCAGATCTCAACCTCCTCAGTAGCTAGGATTATAAGCATGAGCCACTAGTGCCTGGTTATGCTGGTTATTTTTGAGATGGGGTCTTATTTCCTATCCAGGCACACCCCTGCACTGTAATTGACCTATTTTAGTCTTCCAGTCACATCTGGGATGACGAGTGAGCACCACTGTGCATACAGCTTTTGTTGAAATGGAGTGTCATGTACTTGTCTGTGCTGGCCTGGAGCTGCCATTCTTTTTTTCTCATCTTCCTATTAAGCTAGGGTGACAGGTGCATCCTACTGGGCCTAACTGTTGTCAGTTGTGTGTATTAGCCTATACTGCTATCTTCCCAATCTCAGCCTTTCAAGGAGCTAGGATTATGGGTATGAGCCCCTGATGCTTGCTTGAAGCATATTCTTAAGGAGGACTTTAAGGATTTTTACTTATTTTTATATAATGCCTGTCCTTTAGCAGCTTAACGAGCCCTTGGGAGGTCAGTGCCATGGTTTTCCCAATGATTGAAAGATCATGATGGTTTAAATGGTAGTGGTGATTGTTAGGAGATAGGTAATTTTTTCTATGGGAAAGATTAGAGACTTTGACATTCTCAGTGTTCCACTCACCAAGCTTTGTCCCACTAAGGAGCAAGGTTTGAGAACAAAGTAGCTTTGAGTCCAGTATATATGCCATCAGGAGATAGGCATAAGACACTTTAGAAATGCTAAAGCTCATGAGAGATCCAGGCCTAGAGACTTAGAAATAGAATTTTTCTAAAGTGTTGAAAAATCTTACCAGGATCACATAACCTAAGAGTGAGATGCAGAAACAGTGCTGTTTGGACTGAATGTTTAAATTTGGAGGTGTGGTCATTAAGCTGAGTGTGCAGAATGCTCAAGAATGAGTGGCCTGCTGGCTTGTCTGCATTGTTGTGAGGACAGTAGGAAAAGAAATGAGAGTTGACATTTGGGAAGTTGGTTGTGGGCTTAATGACCATGAAGTTTTGATGAGAATGGGCTCAAGAGAAGGAAGGGAGGAGAGATAAAAGATTCTTTCCCAGCATTTGCCAGAAGGAACAAGAAGTGGCGTGAGAGATGTAAGGATTATGAAATCAGCAGTGTTTTCATTTTAAAATATTTTTTAAAGGTTTGGAAAATGGCAACATGTTTGTATGCTGGTAGAGATGGTCAGATAAAGAGAAGAATTTTTGGAATTCCTGAGGAGAAGCAGAGAGTGGGATCTAGTGTGTATGGGGATGGCTGGTCTTGGCTAAATTAATCTATGGCTCTATTACTATAGCAGATGAAGGTTAGGGCCAGTAGAAGGGACTGTAGCCCTTCTGCTCATAACTTCTGTTTTCTTAGAGGAGTAAGTCAGTGGGGTCATTGGCCAAGAGAGGACTGCAGTGAAGCTGCAGGTTTGAGGAGAGGATAAAAATTATTCTGTTATTTACAAAAGGATAAGAATCTGTTGAACCAAAGTAATTGCTGTGTTTTGTTTGTTACAGGACATCCATCCATTTTACGCAGATTTGATGAACATTCTCTATGATAAGGATCATTACAAGTTGGCTCTGGGACAAATAAATATTGCCAAAAATTTAGTAGACAAGTAAGGTATTTTCTTAACATAGTATCTTTTAAGTTATTGTCAACAGTGAAAAATAAAACTTAGCCGGGCGCTGGTGGCTCCCACCTGTAATCCTAGCTACTCAGGAGGCTGAGATCTGAGGATCGCGGTTCAAAGCCAGCCCGGGCAGGAAAGACCATGAGACTCTTATCTCCAGTAAACCACCAGAAAACGGGAAGTGGCGCTGTAGCTCAAGTGGTAGAGCGCTCGCCTTGAGCTGAAGAGCTGAGGCACAGTGCCCAGGCCCAGAGTTCAGGCCCCATGACCGGACCCAAAAAAAGAAATAATAAGGAAAAGGCAGCTGTCAATGTGGATTTCCTCTGCTATGATTCCATTTCTTTAGCCTCTAACAAAATGAAATTCTCTTTGCAGTTTTCATTTTTGTCATTAGGAATGAAGGATGAAGCAATCTTATTTCCACAATTTAACTTTAAGTGATGAAAACATAATACTTAAGATCTGACAGAGATTACCAGTTATCTCAGTCACTAATGGAAAGTGGAGTCATTTTTCTGAAAGTCATTGACAAGCGTTTTAATGAGTTGTTTAGGGTCTCTAAGAGAGCCATATTTTATTTCCTAGTGTTGTCAGGTCTGTTTTGTTGTAGCAGGGTGACTTACAAGACAAGAAGTATGTGAACAAGTGTTCTTTGGAGTAATGAGTCCTGTCATTAGGTAGTAGATACTCCAGGCATTTTGGATCATCCTCTGGAGGATCGGAACACCATCGAAATGCAGGCTATCACAGCTTTGGCCCACCTCCGAGCTGCGGTCCTGTATGTGATGGATTTGTCTGAGCAGTGTGGGCATGGTTTAAAGGAGCAAGTAGAACTCTTCCAGAATATCAGACCTCTCTTTGTCAACAAAGTAAGTGTGGTAACTAATACTTTAACTAATACTTACATGGTAGCTTATCTGCTAGTAATGTGTTGCAAAATTCTCTAGCAAAATTCTCTGCTAGTAATGTGTTGCAAAAATCTGATAACTAACAAGTGACTGAGTAACTGGTAATATAAAGAAAATAAAAAAGCTGGACAAAACGATGAGTCGCATCATTGATAGACAGGAAAACACACAGTTTCCATTGCACTATTCAGAATAATGCACAGCTTAAAAGTTACAAATGATGTATTTCTGGAATTTTTCATTTAATAATTCCAAACCATACTTGATCTTCATAAGTGAAATTACAGAAAGCAGGGAGGATTAAATATATTTCTTTGTGAAAATAATCATTATTTTCTTTCTTGCTAGCCTCTTATAGTTGTAGCAAACAAGTGTGACGTGAGGCGAATAGCTGAACTTTCTGAAGATGATCAGGTAAATTATACTACATTCTTTTTTTTTTTTTGGTCAGTCATGGGGCTTGAACTCTGGGCTTGGGCTCTGTCCCTGCGCTCTTCAGCTCAAGGCAAGCACTCTACCACTTGAGCCACAGTTCACTTCCAGTTTTCTGGTGGTTAATTGGAGATAAGAGTCTCATGGATTTTCCTGCCCAGGCTGGCTTTGGACCGTGATCCTCAGATCTCAGCCTCCTGAGTAGCTAAGATTACAGGCGTGAGGCCACCGGCACCCGGCCAGAAAAGTGAATTCTTGAGCACTTGAGTCTAACCACTGACCAAAAACCTTGGGGTTTGGTGGCAGTCTGAGTTAGAACAGGTCTTTCAGAGCATTGGATATGTACTTGAGATATGAGAACCATCACAGTGGAACAGTAAATAGTTCTGCTATATCTTCTGGAATAGTCTTCTTTAATCCAAGTGGAAGTAAAATGTACTGAAATGGCAAGAGAGTGTTGTTTCCTGCTTAGTGTCTTGTTCTCTTTGAATATATTGGATTGATAAGGATTGGCATATCTTAAATAGTTGTGCTTGGTGAGGTGCATTTGGGGGACTAAGGCAGGAAGATTGTGAGATTGAAGCCAGCCTGGGCCAAATATAGCAAAGCCCTATCTCAAAAAAATATCACTTTTCTCAGAGCACTATAGGACATTCTTTAAGTTACTAATTATCTGAACATTGATGTTGGAGAATTAATATGTCTTATTTACATAATAATTTGTATTTTTAAGTAATCTCAGGTTTTCGGTCTAAAGAGTATGTATGGGAGGATTAAGAAGAGAATAAATAGCACCAGAGGTGAAGTGGGAAACCAGATGACTCAAGGCTTTGAGGTTAGACAGGCTCAAATGCCAGTTGTTCACTTACCAGCTGTGTAGAAAGGAAGTGAGGTAATCCTTTTGAAACCCCACTTTGTTCAGTGAAGGTAAGCCTATGTCATGGGGTACTGCCCAGATGTGGTAGGAAAGTGTGGTCACTTGGTCACCTAAGCCCTAATAGTATATGCCATTCCTGTATTATCTATTGTTGAGATTTCGGGAGATTGGGAAGCAAGTGCATATTGCATGCCATCTTACTATTCAGTCAACACTATTTTAGAGCCTGCTTTATTAACTAGCCTTCTAATGTGACTTACCACTGGTTGATAGCACATGACAGTCTTAATCACATACACAAGTAGGCTCAGGGACTAGCTAACTCCTTTGTTATGTGTTGCTAGATAACAGAATTGGTGCTCAGACCCTAGTTTTCTCTAAGCCACTGTTTTGATCCCTGTGGTAATGGAAGTAGACCTTGTTCATCAGTGCCTTCAATATGCTTTGTTTACCTGTCTGAAGTTGGATCACATGTGTGATTAGATCTAAATAGGGCATTAGAGAACACACAACCCAAATCCTTTGTTTCTAGACTTTTAACCGTTGGTGTGTTTTCTAAGTAATTCTGTTGAGCTATAGAGACTGGAATTTTTTTAAGTAAGAAATAGCATTGAGAACATTTTTAAAAACTGTTCTTGTCTGGTCATGATTGCAGCCTAATACTTAGGAGGCTGAGGCAGGAAGATGATGATATCAGAGCCATCCTGCACTAGATCATGATTTGTGGGCTATGTAATTAGGCAAGGTCTCAGAAAAAGAAAAAACGATCATGATCTTGCTTGAATTTCTGTTTTAGGAAATTAGATTATATAAAATGTCATGTAAAGCTTCAGATTTTATTTGACTGTAGTCTGGTTTGATACTTACCATTGTTTATTTTTTTGTTAGTCATTTGACTTGAACTGGGCCTGTGCGCATTCCCTGCGTTTTTCCACACGAGACTCTACCACTTTGAGCCACAGTGCCACGGTTTTCTGGTGGTTAATTGGAGGATAAGAGTCTCATAGACTTTCCTTCCCTGACTGGCTTTGAACTTCAGTCCCCAGATCTCAGCCTCCTGAGTAGTTAGGTGTAAGCCACCAATGCCCAACATGTTTTGTTTTTTTTTTAATCACAAAAAAGTATGGGAAAAAATAATTTCTGATGTCTGCTCTTCAATTAAAAATAAGTTAAAGATGTTGAAAAATTCATTTTTCTCTTGCATTCCCAGAAAATATTTATAGATTTGAAGGCCGAAGGATTCCCTGTAATTGAGACCAGCACCCTGACTGAGGAAGGTGTTATTCAAGTTAAGACAGAGGTCAGTACTTCTTTAGTCAAGCTGCAGTAATACGGTTTTTGTTATAGAAAGGGTTGTGGGGAAAATCACTTTTATTTTAGAAGCTACAAAACGCTCACATAGCCAGATAGGAGTGCAACACCATAAGAAGAATCTGATACAGAGAACACTTAGGCCCTGTCCTACCCAGTGGCATTTGGAGAGAAACAGTTATTGGTTCCAAAGCTCTCTCTCCCTTGTGCCTGTGGATGCCAAAATCTGGAGAAGCTAGGCTTTTTATAAAAAAATGATATAATGATTTCATGTATCTTGGGTGTATACTTCTACATGCTTTAAATCATACTTATCATGATACCTTATGCATTGTAAATGATGTGAGGATTTTCTGTATTTTAAGAGAGTGATGACAGGAAAGAATAGTGTGTAGTGAAGATTTTCTTCAATTAATTTTGGTCTATGAATGTTTGTATCCATAGATAAAGCCCCAGTGGATAAGGAAAGACAAGTGTAATTTATAATTCTCACTGTAGGAAATAGATTTAAATGACTGTTGTGACTTTTCTAATACTTCCATAGCAACTATAGAAGAGTGTATCTTTCATGGAATCTGTTCAAAAATAGAAGGAAAGAAGTAGTCTGAAAGGCAGGAATAGCTTGGGGAAGACTAATTTGTTTCACAGGCCATTTTTGTTTTCTATTCCTCCATACTATTTTTACCTGAAAGTTGCTCAAGTTGCCATTATCCCACAAGGGTGTCACATGTAGGTACAGAAGGACAGGTAGACAGCTCTCAAGTCTGCACTCTGCAAAGAGGGTCACTAATCTTGGGAATGAGGCCTAGCATGGGACATGGGCACTGCCTAATTATTTTGTCTTGGGTTGGCCCTTGGCCTACAAAGAGTGGTTCTTCTCAGAGAAGCCTTCCTCAGAATGATTACTTGTGGGAAAATGTACACTTAAGTTCCAAACAAAGCTGATCTGATCCTTCCTTGGAATGTGTGGCAGGAATGTTGTATGTCTTTATGACTATGTGCTTTGTTTTTATACTTTATCAGGCTTGTGATAGACTATTAGCTCATCGGGTGGAAACCAAAATGAAAGGAAATAAAGTGAATGAGGTGCTGAACAGATTGCATTTAGCTCTACCAAACAAGAGAGATGATAAGGTAAGAAGGCCTCCAGAGGGTGCCTCTAAGTTACACTTATTGTAGTCAGGTGTGGTTCATGCCAGTAATTCTTAATTCTAGCATTTCCTTTTGGGAAATGTAGACAGGATAATGAGTTTGAGGCCAGCTGTGGAAAAGTTAATAAAACCCTTGAGAAAAACAAAAGAGCTGGAGTATCATGTTTGCTTCACATGCACCAAGAAAAAAAAAGAGAGACAAAGTACAGTTCTTATATTGCCAGTAAATGCAGCCCTATGCCTGTTCTTGGGACTGCAAATCTAGTTACATATGTACCCAAATGAGTCAGTTTCTTATAATAAGATTTGTGGATATGGTAAAGACTAAAGAAGGGAGAGGCTAGGTTAAACCTGCCTCTCAGTTTACCAGTTACATTTAACTTACTGTGCCTGTTGATCCTCTCAGAAGTGGTTTTGATTTGATATAAGAGCATTTTTTAAATTTATTTATACTAGCTATATAGTTAGTGCACATTTATACCTAAGTACTATTGTTATTGCAGATTTATGTCTGTATCCTTGGGCGAGAGAGAGAGAGAGAGTGTGTGTGAGTATGTGTTAGTACTGAAGCTTGAATTTGGCCTGGGTGCTAGTGTTTGTAGATGTGAGTGTTGGTACAGGAGCTTGAACTCAGGGCCTCACACTGTCCTTAAGCTTTTTTACTCAAGGTTAGCACTCCACCACTTGAGCCACAGCTTCGACTTTCTTGGTGGTTAATTGGAGATGAGAGTCTCACAGACTTTCATGACCAGGAGTGGCTTTGAACCTCAGTTTTCAGATTTCATCCTCTCAAGTACCTCTCAAATGTGAACCACTGGTGCCAGGCCTCAGCGACTCTTCAGCAGAAATCTAGAAGTAGATGTATGGCTAAGATGGTAGAATACCATCCTTGAGCAAAGCAAGACTGCAAGGCACCGTGTTCAAGCCCTAGTACCAGGAAAAAAAAAAAGTATTTTTCCTGTATACTTGCATATTTTTGTCCTTTTTTTTAAAATTTTATTTTATTTGTGAACATACTGTACAGAGGGGTTACAATTACATGGGCAAGATAATGCATACATTTCTTACCAAGCATTGTAGCCTCCTCCTTTGTTTACCCTTCACCTCCCTTCCCAGCCTCCCCCATCCCCCCACCCAATCCTTCGCCCCCCCCACTCCCCCCACTGACATTGTAAAGCTCCTTTTTGACATGACAATTTGTACTTCTCATTGTTGCAACAGGTCCACCTGAATCCTTAAATGACTTGTTTTTCCCCATCTCCTCCATAAGTTGTACTGACATCAAATATATTGAAAGCGGGAGTTATACTGTGGAGGAGGGACATACAAAGCAACAAAGAAATAAACATAAATGCGTTAGAAACACATGCATGAAAGAGAAAAAAACATTAAAATACCTATCTAAGGATTCATTTTTCTAGCATCACATTATCTGACTTTTTCCGCTTGACTCATACATATACTAGATATTGCAAATAAGGGAAACCATGGGACTTGTGTTTCTTTGTGCCTGGCTTACTTCACTTAATATAATTTTTTCCAAGTTTTTCCATTTCCTAACAAATGGGGCAATGTCATTCTTTCTGATGGAGGCATTTTTGTCCTTTTTAAAAAATTACCTCTAGGGGCTGGGAAGGTGGCTCAGTAGTAGAGCACTTGCCTTGCATGCATGAGGCCCTGGGTTCAATTCCTCAGCACCACATAAGCAAAAAGAAGAAAGCCGGAAGTGGCACCGTGGCTCAAGTGTAGAGTGCTAGCCTTGAGCTGAAGAGCTGAGGAACAGCGCCCAGGCCCAGAGTTCAGGCCCCACAACCGGACCCCAAAAAAAAAAATTACCTCTAGGGCTAAGAAGGTGGCTCATTGGTAGAGTGATTGCCTTACATGCATGATACCTTGGGTTCGATTCCTCAGCAACACATAAGCAGAAAAGCCTGGAAGTGGTACTGTGGCTCAAGTGGTACAGTGCTAGCCTTGAGCTGAAAAAATGAGGGATAGTGCCCAGGCACCAACACACACACATACACACTAAAATGCCAACACACATCCTAAAAGGGATGGAAGTTTTGCCAACACACACACCCTAAAAGGGATGGAAGTTTTTGCTTTATATCATACACACACACACACACACCCTAAAATGCCAACACATACCTTAAAAGGGATGGAAGTTTTTGCTTTATATCTCACACACACACACACACACATACACACACACGCATACACACACACGCATACACACACACGCATACACACACACGCATACACACACACGCATACACACACGCATACACACACACGCATACACACACACGCATACACACACACGCATACACACACACGCATACACACACACGCATACACACACAAGTTTTTCCTTTATTTTGTCCTAAAGGAAATGTAGAGATAGCTATGCAACACACACACATACCCCTCTAAAAGGGATGGAAGTTTTTGCTTTATTTTGTCCTAAACGAAGAGTAGAGATAGCTATGCATCTTTGTTTTCAAATGATACTCATTTATATCAGAGCTTTAGCTATGCATCTTTGTTTGGGGGGGGGTCTGTGGGGCCTGAACTCTGGGCCTGGGTGCTGTCCCTCAGCTTTTCAGCTCAAGGTTAGCACTCTACCACTTGAGCCACAGCGCCACTTCCGGCTTTTTTCTTTTTGTTTATGTGGTGCTGAGGAATTGAACCCAGGACCTCATGCATGCAAGGCAAGCGCTCTACCACTGAGCCACCTTCCCAGCCCCCTGATTATCTTTTCTTTGAATTCTCATGTATACTGGTTTCTGTTTTAGTATGTCATCATAATAAATCTACTGTTCTTGCTCTTATTGCATATTTTTTGGATCATATTTTTATAAGTGAATCTGGATATAATTTTATATTCCCTTATAGACAGTATTTCTAGTTATTTGGTTTAATTTATTTTTACATTTATCACAGCATCTCACATAAGTATTTCCAATATCTTCATAGGAGAGGCCTCCTTTCATCCCAGAAGGAGTAGTGGCTCGAAGGAAGAGAATGGAAGTTGAGGAGCCCAAGAAGAAAAGGGTATGTTGTTGTAAATTTTTCTGGGTTTCTTATGGGGAGGGAGCAGTCCACAGTGACAGGGTCCTGGCTCAGTGGACACACGTAGAGTGTGCTTGAGGAGCACTCGGTCATGTACAGTTCTAGGACATGGAGGAGGTGAATTCCTCACCAAAGTCTTTGCTCTTACGGTGCTTTTTAATAGATGGTATATAACCTAAAGACAGCTTTCCTTTTAGACATAGAAGCGTAATCCAATAGATAGTGAAAAAAAATGGAGAAGGCACTAATTACTTCTGTGTGGAAAGGATGGGGCAGGGTGTTGGGGATGAAAAAGTGAAATAAAGGTAATTTAATTAATAAAAAAATTTTCCCCCTTTGCAGGAACGAGATCTTGAGCTGGAAATGGGAGATGATTATATTTTAGATCTTCAAAGTAAGCACTGTGATGTTATAAGTGTTGTGCAAAGCCGGTTTTATCTGAATTGTTTTAGGAAGGACTTTTTTTTAACTTTTTGGGTTTAAATATTTCTTTTTTTTGGAAGGGGAGGGTCCAGTCGTGGGGCCTGAACTCTGGGCCTGGGCGCTGTCCCTCAGCTCTTCAGCTCAAGGCTAACATTCTACCACTTGAGCCACAGCACCACTTCCAGCTTTTTTCTTTTTGCTTATATGGTGCTGAGGAATCAAACCCAGGGCCTCATGCATGCAAGGCAAGCAAGCGCTCTACCACTGAGCCACCTTCCCGGCCCTAAATATTTCTTTATTTTCTAAAAATATCTTTAGTTGTACAAAGAGATTTCAATTCAATTTGTCAGTTTATGAGTATAATGCATCTTGCTCAATGTTACCCCTTCCATCACTCCCCTCCCTTCTGTCCTAACCCCCACCTGTCCCCTCAGATTACCTGCATTACCTACAGTAATGAGTAAAATTCTGTTATATTTGTTAGGTTTTGAGTTCTTAGAGATTAAAGTTTCATGTTGATGGAGCTGTGTTAAATGTCTTTCAGGCTGTTTTCTGTTGGTTTTAATTTTATTAATTTATTTTTTTCTTTATGTGGTACTGAGGAATCAAACCTAGGGCCTCATTCATGCTAGGCAAGCACTCTACCACTAAACCACATTCCTAGCCCCCTGTTGATTTTATATGAAGGGATTATGCTGAGCTCATGTTGTGATATTGTTAATAATAACCTTATGCAACATTGAGAATTATGTAACTTTCTAGATGGACTTGATTTGACATGTTATAACTCATATTGGGCACATGGCACTTGAGGATATTAAAAACTACCATGAATATAACTTTTTTTTTTTAATTCTAGAATACTGGGATTTAATGAATTCATCTGAGAAGTATGATAAGATACCAGAGATCTGGGAAGGACATAATGTTGCTGATTATATTGATCCTGCAATCATGAAGGTCTGTATTACATTTAATGTTTTGTGGTTTTTTTATATGTTGTTTTTACAGCTACTGAAGATACAGGCACAACTTTTGCTAGCCTGTTTATTTCTCTTTCTGCTCCCATTGCTTTCAGCATTCCCCCTCCCCCCCCACACACACACATTTCTGGCACTTTTTTGTTTTATTGTGGTTTTTGCACCAATCCTGGTGTTTAAACTCAGTCTCATGCTCTTGCTCCATAGATGTTCTACTGTGTGAGTTGCACCTCCAGGTCCATTCCCCTACTTGTTTTCTACGCTCTGTTCTACGAGATCTGTTCTCACTCTGAGAGATCCTCTGTCACCACCTCTTTGTTCTGTTACTTGTTCCACTGACTCCTCTGGTCCCACCTGGTCTTGGAGATGCCTACGGTCTTCACACTGACCTGTATCAGTGTATACTGTAGTATCAGTCCCACTGATATCTGTGCCCAGCCATAGCTCCTGTCACTAGTTCAGATTTTTCTATTAGACTTTTTCTATTAGACTTCCTGCCCATGTTTCCTTCTGCTAGTCCAACAGGTTGCACCACATTATCTTATCAAGAAAATTGACACGGGTATCAACTGATCTCCAGTTTTACTATGGCCTACTGACTCTTCCAGTCTAAGGGTGGGGGGGACAGGATTAGTTCTTAGCCAAAAATCTGTGTTTTCAGATCAATTCTTAACTAGAACTCTGACCAGTCACTACTATCTTTTTCCTGCCTCATGCTCTCCTTCTCCTTATTTGCTTTTTCTTAGTGTATGTGATTGTCTTCCTCCTCCAGACATGGGTGGTCATGTCACTTCTCTTTGTTAAAGTCTTCTGCTCCTCTTTGTCACACCACATTTCCTTGGCCTGTACAGAACAGTTCCATTCCCTCTCAGCCTTAATTCCTCAGTGTTTTCCATGCTTAGGACAGGGGCACCTGTTGTTGGATATTTGTTCATGTTGTTTAGATATATATACACTTTAAGTTTTTCATTTTGCCTGCTGTTGGTGGCTCTTGCCTGAAATCCTAGCTACTCAGGAAGCTGAGATAAGAGGATGGTGTTTTAAAGCTGGCCCGACCCCTCTGTACAGTATTTTCACAATAAAAAAAAAGAAAGCTGGCCCGACGCCTCTGTACAGTATTTTCACAATTAAAAAAAAAAAAAAGCTGGCCCGGGCACTCACGCACACACACATACACACAGAGCATTTTTATCTTACTAACTTCTTAGCTAGTGAGATTTTGTTTGGTTATTAGATAGAATGGGATGTTGTAAAAATTTATCTGTTTGCAATGTTTGGGAGGGCTAGAGAAGTACACATTTTTGTTCCTGAAGTTTAGTTTGAAGAAAGTGGAATGGCATGGATGGGTACCAACAGGCTGTCTGTGTGCAGATTTGTATCCCTTTTGTTACAGAAAGCTTTTCTGTGTTGTAAACCGTGCTTTATTGTATCTTCTAAGATGTAGAAGAACATCCTTCCCATAAACACTTTGCCACGTGTTTAGAAATTGTTCTTTGTAACTTTGTTTAATTATGACTCTTTCTAAAGAAACTGGAAGAGTTAGAAAAGGAAGAAGAACTAAAAACAGCTGCTGGAGAGTATGACAGTGAGTCTGAAAGTGAAGATGAGGAAATGATGGAAATCCGAGAATTGGCGAAACAAATTAGAGAAAAAAAGAAGTTGAAAATTCTGCAATCCAAAGAAAAGAATACACAGGGACCCAGGATGCCTCGAACTGCTAAGAAGGCAAGTTTCATGTTACGTAAAGTCAAAACCTCTACATTTCAAATTAGATTCTTAGCTAAATCATTTTTAAATATAACTTTCAGCCTGTTCATGGGTATAATATTTTACATACTTCGTTAGTGTTTATTGACTTGGAGAAGATGATTTACCTATAACTTTCTATCTGGAGTATTGCCCTTTCCTGGTGATTTCACTTACCAGGTCAGCACTAATACAAGTAAATTCAAGCATTTTGCAGTTGTACAGCTTAAAATGATAGAAAATTTCTTTTTTTTGGCGGGGGGGGGGGGGGCCGGTTGTGGAGCCTGAACTCTGGGCCTGGGCACTGTCCCTCAGCTCTTCAGCTCAAGGCTAGTGCTCTACCACTTGAGCCACAGCACCACTTCCGGCTTTTTTCTTTTTGCTTATGTGGAGCTGAGGAATTGAACCAGGGCCTCAGGCATGCAAGGCAAGCGCTCTACCATTGAGCCACCTTCCCAGCCCTGATAGAAAATTTCTTGATGTCCAGCTCCAAAGCCAAACATGAGGGGAAGATTAGATTAAATCTGCTTTTTCAGACAGTTCTGCTATGTAGCCCAGGCTGGCGTCCAACTCTTTGTAACCAGGGCCAGCTTTGAGCAAGAAATCATCCTCTCTGCCTCCCAAATATTGGGATTGCAAGCATGCTGTACAGTGCCTTGCTTATTTTTTATTTGTATGAACTTCCTTGGGAAAAATAAGGAATAGTTTACTTGAGGAGGAAAATGAATGGTTGAGAGGAGGCAGGAGTTCTCAAAGAGTTCTTTTTGTTGTTGATGTACAGACAGGTTACAGAATTCAGGTAAAGAGTATATTTCTTTTTTGACACTGTCACCCTTCCCTTCACTCCCAGTTTTCCCCTCCCATTCCACACTTTTTTGAGATTGGAAACATTGTAGTAGTAACAAAAGATTGCTTTACCTCTGACCTCTAAAGCTGCTGCAGGAGCCAAGGACTAAAGGCTAAATACCCCAACCTCAGTATTCTAGACATTTAAGAAATAACAAGGACTGTTGGAAGTATGAGGCAGAAACTAAAGATGAAAACCAAAATATATATGAGTATCACATGTACATTTTCCCTTAATTTTTTCTTAACATTTCATCAGACTAATTTTCACTTTTAAAACAGGTTTCTTGAGCCAGACATGGCAGTACATGCTTATAATCCCAGCTCTAGGGAGGCTGAGACAGAGGATAGTTTGTTCCACGGCATCCTGGCCTACATCTTAGCAAGACCTTATTTCAAAGAAGCAAAACGAAAAAGCCAAGGTGGTTTTCTTTTGGTTGTTTTTCAGGTTCAGCGGTCAGACTTGGAGAATGAGATGCGTGGACTTGGTATTGACATGGACAATAAAGAAGATGTAAGTGTGTGGGGCTGGTTTCAGCTACAGTCGTAACAATGGAGACACATTCTGAGAAATCTGTCATAGGGGAATTTTATCCTGTCAAATATGATTTAGAGTCTTTGTGATGTCATCAGAGGTCGTACATGTTTTATTTGCAGTCCTTTTTTTTGTATTGATCTTTGCAACAAAGGATTTTAATTCAACATGTTAATTTATATACAAAGCATCTTGGTTATTTTCACCCCTTCCATCATTCTTTCCCCATCTATCCTAACTCCTTTGATCCCCTTAAGTTTCCTAGTTCCATTTTCTTGTATGTATGTTGTATCTTTATATTCATTTGGGTGCTTATACATGTCCTCTTTAGTTTCACTAGTCACTTATTCTTTCGAGTTCATTGTTTGAAATTTCACATACTTCACTCGCATTCAAGTCATTCACTGTGGAATTGTTGACATTTGGAGGAAACATCTTTGTTTTCTTATTTTACTTGTGTTTCTCATGCCTTCTTTTCAAATTTTACTTGTGTTTCTGCATTGAAATTTGTTTTCTATACATTTAGGCCCATTATGCAGTTCAAGCACGAAGATCTCGGAGTGTCACTAGGAAAAGAAAGCGGGAGGAATCCCTTCCACCTTCTTCTATATCTCGGAGTCGAAGTTGTTCTCGAACTCCACGTGATGTCTCTGGTCTTCGAGATGTCAAGGTTAGTCCTGATGATGTATAATACCAAGAATTAAGAATGCCTGTTGCTTATTACAAATAAGCTCAGGCAAATGGCAGGTGTTTGGAGGAGCAGGAGCTATGGGCAGAGAGTTGGATCCATCAATCTCTCCATTCCTGGCATCCTTTAGAGATAACCTTCTGCCAGGGAACAGTTGAGTGCCCTTGCACAGGTGTCCTGGGTGGACCATTCTCTAGTGTTGTTATATTTTGGAAGGTAAACAAACATAGTCTCAAAAGTACCAGGAGTCTGTAGGCACTGGTTACTTTAAGGTGGCTTCTCTCAGCACCAGGAGGCCTCAATCATAACAACCAGCCATGAGGAACAGCCCAAGGAAACTGTTTGATCAAGTGATCAAACAGGTACTTGTCTTCACATGGGAAGGTATTTTTTTCCTCAGATTAGTAGCTTGGGTCACTGTCACGATTTATATTATCTTTTTGCAGACATATAAGTCTCTTCTGATGAAAGACCTTTTTAAGAAACAAAAAAAAATGGTTTTAGCATTTTGAAAATTTGGATATAGGAGAAGGTGTGTGTGTGTGTGTGTGTAGGTGTGTGAACTAGCATGCAGTCTTTTTTTTTTTTTGGCCACAGTTCACTTCCGGTTTTCTGGTGGTTTATTTGAGATAAGAGTCTCACGGTCTCTCCTGCCTGGGCTGGCTTTGAACCAAGATCCTCAGATCTCAGCCTCCTGAGTAGCTAGGATTACAGGTGTGAGCCACCGGTTAGCATGCAGTTTTTTTAATGGAAACATTAGTTTTTTATCCCACAATGCCATTTTCATCTGGAAATGTTGGGTATTTTTGAGATGACGCCTCCAAATATAGTGTAGGCTGGCCTCAAACAGTCTTCCTGCCTCACCCTCCCAAGTACTGAGACTTAAGAGTGTTGGCCACTAAAATCTTAATGTTGCCACTTGTCAAGAAGATATGAGGGGCTGGGAAGGTGGCTCAGTGGTAGAGCACTTGCCTTGCATGCATGAGGGCCCTGGGTTCGATTCCTTAGCACCACATAAGCAAAAAGAAAAAAGCCGGAAGTGGCGCTGTGGCTCAAGTGGTAGAGTGCTAGCCTTGAGCTGAAGAGCTGAGGGACAGCGCCCAGGCCCAGAGTTCAGGCCCCACGACCAGATCCCCCCCCCCCAAAAAAAAAAAAAAGATATGAGTGGTATTTTCTCATGAGCCTGAATTTTATTGTGTTAGTTGGTGTAAGGAGTTAGAACAGATAATTCTGTAATGTAGGTCTAGAATGTTCTTGTCCTTCATAGATTGCATTGCATTATGATGAGCCTGAGGGAAACCAGTGACTGAGTTTTACAGGTCTGCACAGAATAGACCTGGTCTTCTCTTAAGACTAGTACCTTCCAGTTAAAATACACAGTGAAAATGTGGTTTTCATTGTTTGTGTTTTCACCTTTGTAGATGGTTAAGAAAGCCAAGACTATGATGAAGAATGCTCAGAAGAAGATGAATCGCTTGGGGAAGAAAGGAGAAGCAGATAGACATGTATTTGATATGAAACCCAAGCACTTACTCTCAGGGAAGAGGAAAGCTGGTAAAAAGGACAGGAGATAGTGTCCTTTTTGGTTTACATGGTTTGGCTAGACTATTGTAGTCTTTATAAAATGGGAATAGTCTATTAACTGAAACAAACAATGGAAGTAACAAAAATGTACTTGTTGCTCTGCTGAAGAGAACTGTATGTGTGCAGGAAATTTATGTCTGCATATATTATAAATCTTTGAGAAGGTAGTGTTTCTGCATTTAGTCAAGTGTTTGTTCCTTCCTATTTGCAGAACTGGAAAGATAGGTGTGGCTCAGTTGCTTTTGATGAAGCAAAGGGAAGCATTTGTTTATTATATGTGAAAAGCATGGTTTTATGACAAAAGCTTCTCTGTTAAGTGGGCATAGGAAGGAGGCTGCCAACTGACATACTTGGGAGCAAACATGTTTATAAGTATGTCAGACCCTGAGCTTAAATTACTCTTGTAAGTTATTTTCTAGACTTCTTGTACAATGTATTACTGTAATCATCTTCAACTATTTTATCCAAAATAAATTTCTAGAGGAAAACAATTTTGACTTACTTAGTTCTTTTCTAATTCAGTCATAGACCACTGTTGACTTGGCCAACATAGCTTTTTGTTTTGTTTTGTTTTTAAAACAAATACTTTTTTGATAATAAATAGCCTAAATTATTACAACAATTAAATGTAACCAGACCATTGCTGGAAACTACATGTTCAATAAAACAATATTCTAACCCCTCCACACAAGCTGCCTCCAATGTTAGTCTGTTTTCAGATTTAAATGGATAAAATTGTAAGGTATACACAAAACTCTCAAACACAGTAAGTCCTCCTTAACTATGAAACAGTAACATTATTAGCCACTAACATTGTATGTAGTTTAAAAAGAACTGTTCCCTTTAGCAAGTCATTTACCACCTAGAGTACTTTCAGAGTTTACCTTTATCTGACTATTCCTTGGTTTTTGTAATACAATTTTAAGATTTTTCCTTTTATACGTAAATGTGTGTACAGTGTTGAAGATCTGCATGTTTGGGGAGAGCTATTCAGGCAGGTGTGGTAATACACCCCTTTAATCTCACATTCTGGAGACAGGAAGATCGCAAGTTTGGGACCAGCAGGGCCTTACTGGAATATCCTCTTTCAACAAAAGACATTCAAACTTAAGTGCCATTAGGAAAAGATGGTAGAATAGGAAGTACTAGGGATCCCTTTTTTTTTTTTTTAATAACTTGGACAGTTGTGCTGGTAGAATCGGATGGTCAGTTTCAGACTTAGGACTTAACCAGACCTCAACCCAAGTACTGTCACCAGGAGATACATTCCTATGGCTGCTTATAAGAAATGGAGTGGGCACCAACGACCTTGTCTTCTGTATTTAGAATTCTGTGTTCTGATTGCCTTTTTTTGTGGTAGAAGTGCACAAACAGATGGACATCTATTATTGCAAGGTCCAGGTAGCCTGGCTCACATAAGGACTTTTGGTGATACTAGAATTTGAACTTGGGACCTAACCCTTGGTAATCAACTACTCTATCACATTAGCCACACACACACTCCTAAGATCCACTGACTGCTTCCACATTTAGGAGCCAAATGTTTCAGAATAAGGATTATTTCTAAGGATAAGGACTTTGAATAACAAAACAATTGCATGTTCTGAAGAATTTAGACCATAACTACAAATTCCTAGGGAAAGAAAAACACGAGCTTAGAAATAGTAGGTTTATATTTCAAGCTTATTACTGCACTGGGTTCCTAAGCCAGCAAATTACAGGGAGAGAAGAGAGTACTTATTGCAAGCATGTCCCTAAAAATCTTCATATATACAGGTCAAATAGAAGGTGATGAGTACCCCACTTTCATTTCTTGATAAACAAGCAGATAGAAATAAGGAAATGTAAAAGATCAGAACTTCATAACAAACCATTCCCTCCAAAAGACATAGAACACTGTACCCAACTTCAAATCCATTTCTTTAGGTGCAAATGGGTTCTCAGGTAGGGTTTGGGTTTTTTCATGTGTGCTGGTTCTGGGACTTCAACTCAGGGCCTTGGCACTGTCCCAGAGCTTTGTTTGCTCAAGGCTACACTCTACTACTTGAGCCACAGTGCCACTTCTGGCTTTTTGCTGGTTAATAATAGAGATAATCCACCTCATGGACCTTCCTGCCCAAGCTGGCTTTGAAACTCAATCCTCAGATCTCCTGAGTAGCTAGGATTATAGGCATGAGCCATCGGTGCCTGGTGGGTAGTTTGTTAGGCCACAAAATAAGTCCAGTAGATTTAGAAAGATGTCAAGCAAATGTCTTCATTCTTAGGGTAATAAGTTATGCTGCAGAATTTACAAATGTGTGTAAGTTAACACAGATCAACCAGTGGAGGAAAAAAAAAATTGCAGGGCATTAGGAAATACCTTAAGACAAATGAAAACAAAGATACTGGTTTATGAGATGCCATGAAAAATTTCTGTGTACTATATATAAAATACTCCTTCCCCTAGTCATATGTGAATACCTACAAGCTAGGGAAAGTGGAGTGGTCATGCTGGTACCCTGAACTAGACTTGGAGCCTTCAGAACTAGAAGGAAAATACATTTCTGTCATTTATACATTTCAGTGTGTAACTATTAGAATATCCTGAATTAACACAGAAGTGCTCTGAGAAATTTATAACAGAAAAAGATTCCAGGTGAACAGTTAACCTTACAATTTAAGGAACTAATTTTTAGAAGCTACCAGAAAAAATAATGAAGATTATAGCAAAGGTAAAATAGAGAATAGAAAAAGCATAAATCAGTGGAACCAGGAACTGATACTTTGGAAAGATGAACAAAAGTATCTGTAGTTGATAACATGTATATTTGAAGACTCAGAATTACTAAAAGAGCATGTCTATTAGAAATTATAAAAGCGCTATAAGTATACTGAAACAAATTGGATAACAGGAAATGGTAAAGTTTTTAGAAACACAACCCCAGCAGAACTGACTCATTAGGAAACAGTGAACAAACCTATTGGGATAATTGGGTCAGTAAACCCCTTCCAACATTCAACTACTAAATTATCTCAATGTAGTCGAGTTCATATATGCCAAAACTCACTGCAAACCTATCAAAAGACATTTCAGGTCAGGAGAAAAGTATGAATTTCTACTCTACATTTTGGGGGATTTTTTTGGTCAGTTGTGGGGCTTGAACTCTGGGCGTGGGTGTTGTCCCTGAGCTTTTCAGCTCAAGGCTAGCGCTCCACCTGAGCTACAGTGTCTCCTCAGGTTTTCTGGTGTTTAATTGCCCAGGCTGTCTTTGAACTGTGATCCTTAGATCTCAGCAGCCAGAGTAGCTAGGATTACAGGTCTGAGCCATCCAAGCTTTCTACGTTCTTTTTTTCAATATACTTTTGGAGAACTTAGCTAGAGCAATTAAATAAAAGTAAATCACATCAAGAGCATGAAGGAAAGAAATATCCATATTGGGCTGGGAAGGTGGCTCAGTGGTAGAGTGCTTGCCTTGCATGCATGAGGCCCTGGGTTCGATTCCCAAGCACCACATAAACAAAAAGAAAAAAGCCGGAAGTGGCGCTGTGGCTCAAGTGGTAGAGTGCTAGCCTTGAGCTGAAGAGCTGAGGGACAGTGCCCAGGCCCTACGACTGGACCCCCCCCCAAAAAAAAGAAAAAGAAATATCCATATTCTATAGCTTCATCTGTAGAAAACCATAGACGATTACAACTGTTATTAATAAAGGATTTCTACAAAGTTATAGGATATAACTGCAACATGAAGTAGTTGTATACACCAGTGACCAATCCAAAAAAATTATATTTTTAGTGGCCTAAGAGAATAAAATAGGAATAAGTAGGATGTGAAATATTTGTATGCTGAAAACTAGAGAAAAACAGAGCATAAACTGACCCCCTCCCAAAGGAAAGAAATATATGTTCATAGATTGGTAGGCAATATTGCTAAGACAAAATAACATTTAAAAATCCTAAAGTTTGTATGGAATTTCTAGGGACTCCAAATAGCCCAATCAATTTTGAAACAATATTGGGGGTCTTACACATTCTTATTTTAAAACACTATAGAACAACAGTAAGAAAGACCTTATACTTGTGTCATAAAGACAGACAGATAGAACAGAATAGAGAACCCAGAAATAAATCCTTCTGCATATAGGCACATGATCAACGATTTGAAAAAGACAGTCCAACAACTAGTTTGGGAAAATTAGGCAGAGAAGATTGGATTTAACCAACCACATTACAAAAAATCTTCAAAAAATATTGGAGTCTGGGAGGTGTGGTACACACTTTACACCAGCATCAGGAAGCCGAGACCTCAAGGAGGCTCATGAGTTAGAGACCAACTCTTGGTTTCCCAAAACCAGCCACCCAAAGAAAAAGGAATACTGGAACACAAGACCTAAAACAGGAAAATCTTCATGACCTTGTATTGGATATAATATTCACAACACAGGCAGTGACAGCAAAAATGGACTATATCAAAGTTAAAACCTACTATTAACAGTGAAAAGGCAGCTTAGAGAATGATATTGCAAGTCTCATATATGAAAAAGGACTGCTATCAATAATAACCTCAAAACTCAGCAGCAAAAAGAACAAATTCCAATTCAAAAGATCTAAGTACAGTCTTTCCAAAGAAGACACAGAAATGAACAATAAGTACAAATCAGTATCACTTACTCCTCAGGGAAATGTTATTAAAAACCACAGTGAGTTGCTACCATCTACCATTTAGCATGTCTATATCAATAAACCAAGAAATGCTGATGAAGACTTGAAATTGGCATCTTCATGCATTGAGGATGGAAATGCAAAATTGCACAGCAGTTTATGAAAAATTTAGATTATGTGATCTAGCAATTCCATTTCTGCATATATACACAGAAGCATTGAAAGAGATGCAAAGATTCTGGGTGTGTATGCGTGTATGTATATATAATGTATGTGTTCATAAGAGCATTGTTGACAATAGCCAAAATGTGGAAACCGTATGTCCAACAACAGATGAATGAATACACAAGAATATGGTAATACATGTGGTGAAATACTTAGCTTGGAAAAAAGAGTAAAATCGTCACATACTACAATACGGATGAACTTTGAAAACATTGAATTAAGTATAAGCCAGATTTAAAGGAAAAAATTCTTTATAATTCCATTTACATAAAACACCAAGAATAGTCAAATTTGTAAAAATAGAAAATAGAATAGTGGTTTTCAGGCAGCAGGGGAAGGGAAAATATAGGAATTACTGCCTGATGGTCTTAAGAGTTCTAGTTGAGGTGATTTAAAAAAAAAAAACATTTTAAGGATGGAGCATGGTGATAGTTGTACCATATGAATGTTCTTAATGCCACTGAATGTACACTTACATAATGAGAATGATAAATTTATGTGTGTTATACCACAATAAGAAAAACAAAGAGTCAGGTGTTGGTGGATCATACCCTAATCCTAGCTACTCAGGAGGCTGAGATTGAGGATTCAATGCTAGCCCAGGGGGGAAAGTCTATGAACTGGAAG